GAGGAAAAAACACTTGGGGATGCAACTCATCGGGTCTTCTATTGCTTCCATAACAGCATCAACAAAGTCTTTTTGTTCGTTATTCAAATTGCTATATTGTCTGCGACCAATGGCTTCTAATTCGCTGACATTGTGGGTTTCTTCATTTCCCTCGTCTTGAAAATTCTGAATGTCATCCATACCATAGTTTTCCACCCAAAATTGGAAGTTTCGGCCTGAAATAAATAATTATTTTGAGTTCACTTTTTACAAAATCATAAGTATTAAAACATGTAGTATAATTTATTTTAGTCTAATGCTTTCTCTTATTTTAATTTGTTATAATATTCATTGAATATTTTTTATTTTTATTTTGCTTCACACTTATATTTAATAAAATTTGAACAATTATACACTCTAATTTTACAATTATCATAAATGACATTAAAAAATATAAACGTTTCACAATGTTAATAAAGTTTATGGTCAAGTAATCTACTAATGAGTTACAGTAACAAATGCTAAATATTTAATTTAATAATAAGTTAGCATTTTCAATTCTGTACATAATTAGTATGGGTTAGTTTCTCATATTTTAGAACTTATGTGAAGCCTAAGTCTAGTGCGCTTCCAATGTTAGAATTGAAATTTAAGCCATAGAATCAGTTGATCAAAAGTAATTGTATGTTATTGTTATTGATACTATGAGAAAGAATTACCTTCAGTAGCTTCAGTATTCAGCTTATGGGCAATAATACGGTAAGCCTTCATGAGTGTTGTGATCATTTACTGCATGACTTATATTAGAAGATTCATTACAATAGGGAATGTAGTGAAATTGCACGTGAAATAATAGTTAAGTTGAAATAAATTTAGCAGAAATCTACTACCCAATAAATATAAAAGGAGGTGTATAAGTTAAAGCTAATTAAAGATTATTCCATCCTCTCATTAATTTAACTACCACACTCGACATTGACAGAAATTGGTTTTTCAGTTATAGTATAATATGCTCAATGGTATAATCTGAATGTTAATTTCCTTTGCTCTGTATACACACATTGTTATTTCCTTTTGGTCTGTGTAAACATATGCTACAAATAGCATGGGCAAGCTGAGGTGCCCGTGGGTACAGAACGTCATGTTATGTCTTAAAATGTAAACAAAATGACAACAATGGCGGAATGTTTTCTCATAAGGCCCATGTTAAATTTTCAAAAGTTTGCACTCATATTATGGCGAAAATAGATTTTTCCTGGCTATACCACTGGTCTAGAACTTATTTTTGGCACAGAACTTAGTTATTCCGTAAATATAAACGATTTTGTTAGGGCCGATTCCCAGATCGAGTGGACAAGTATTCAAACTTTACTCGTATTATATATAGGATAGTAAGGACTGTATTAGATCATCTTTGATCATTATTTTGAAATGACTTTTAAAGACATTAAAATAATTGAATATTGATATGGTATTATGTATGATATGTTGAAGTAATTCACTAAAGATTGATATTTAACTTTGGTAGACCAATAGACAACATTCATTGACCATCGGCATGGCTAACCTACTCGCTGTCAGTTTAAGAGAAAGATATTATCATTTAAAATAAAATATAAATAAATATATTATACATTTTGAAGGGGTATCCACTCAAAATAAACTTAATTTAAGTTTTGTAATAAGTAATATTTATAAGTTGATTATTACCTTCTGTAGCTTCAGTATTTAGCTTGTAAGCTATGATTCTATATGCTCTGTTGTAAGAATCTTCTAGAGGGGTTCCAGAAATCTCTGCTTCTCTAAGAAAATCTTCTGCCAACTCGTCCTTAAACATATCCCAGAGACGTTTAGGGTTTTCTGGTGATCCGAGAATCAAGATTTGACAAAAGAGTGTCCTCATGACACTCGGCATCTTTGACAAAGCGGATTCCCGCAGCCCATCAATCCATTGCTGGTCATCATATGTAAGGCCTTTTGCTAGGCATGCTTGTTTATAAGTGGAATAGGCAGTCCCATTTACAAATTTAAGGTCTTCAAAACTTTTGGCATCTTTGGTATGGAAGAGGAGCATTCTTAAGTGATAAAGTTCAGGTTGGGCCACCAAGTTCACAGTGTGGATCCTTCCAATCGTTTTTGAGCTTCGCTGTCGTACCACCCATTCACTTGTTTTGCCTAACCATTTGTACTTTTCTGGCATCTGCCAGTAGAAGTAGTAGATTACTTCATTCCCATTCTCTTCTTCTATGTGAAGTTTAGAGTTGTGTTTAAAGTACGCCTCTAAGGTGGACCCTTTCAGGCCAGTGTCCGCTACATCTTCTTGTGTCTGTTCAATGTTTCCCACACGGTACTGACCTTCTAGATGGATGTCCAAACGTTGCACCGAATGGCTTTTCCTTTGGATTTCATTTCCAGCCAGCCTCCAACATGCTTCAGGGGGCGAAATATAACGTGCCTCAACAAATGTTTCTGCTTCATTATACATTATTCGGGCCACATTTTCAACAATTTTTACATTTGCGCAGTCATGCCCTTTATAAATGTATTTATAGAGGTACTTAACGGCTCTAACACTACCAACATACTCGATATTTATGTGGCACATGTATTTCTTCAGTAAATAGCCATTGTATGGAGCAACATGTCTATTGTCCCGTGTAACTTTTTGTCCATCACTGTTTTTGCGGTACACCGCATGGACGTGAGAAAATTCTGGGTTATTTGGATCCAGTTGTGGGTCATACCGTCTCTTGTAATTCGGTTTTTTGTTGTCAACAATTGACGTAAACTCTTGATGAGCTTTGGGGAATCCAAAGCGGCATTTAGCTGATCCACCCTTATTCTCCATACATGACGCAGACGGATTAAGTTCGCCACATGGATTGTGAATCATCCATTTGAGGACCAACTCCCTTAGAACTGGGTCATCATTAGGAATTTCTGCCGAAATGAAAGTGTCTACTTCCTCTGGAGACCGGAGTTTGTCTTCATTTGCCATGATGACAAGAAGATGTAGGTGGGGTAATCCTCGTTTTTGAAATTCTATAGTGTAAACAAAAGCAGAAGACTTCCCAAAAATCTGTTTCTTACTGATATCTTCAACTATGCTGTCAAATTTCAATTTGGCTACCCTAGCCACAATGTCAGGTCTTTCTTGGGCGAACTGTTGTAGTTTAGAACCATCAGAGAGCTCAATACATGCAGCTTCTTTTAATTCTGGCCATGTTGGACTGCACGTTATTGTGATAAAAAAGTCTGGAGAGCCAAACCTTCGGACAATTGCCATAGCGTCTTCAAAGTGTTCAGTGAAATATCTCGTTGATCCGGGAAAAGATGATGGTAAAATCAGTTTTTCAGCAACTGTAGCATTTTTCTTTTCAGCCAATTCATTTAGAAAATGTGTTACTCCTGCATACTGATCAGCTTGAAGTTTCTTTTGGTTGTATTTGATCCACTGAATACGATCACGTTCAACACGGATGTATGTGTCCACGACGTACTGTTGAAACAGTCTACCACCAAAGTGGAGAGCATTAAATCCAATCGACCTTAGATCTAATCCCTCTAGCAATGGTTCAGGAGGAAGAGCCTTGGCTTGTTCTGGACGAAAGGCTAACCTGTATTGAGCCAACTCCATCCTCGTCATGTGTGCACGGCTTGCATAAGGCGTTTTAAGAGGAAGCCCTACAGTAAACCCAAAAGTTCCTTTTGGGTAGAGGAGAGGGTAGGTGAATGGTTCTACTCGGCTGTCAATGTTCTTGAGCGTTATTAACTGTTTTCCTCGCTCCTTAATAACCATCTCATTTTCCGGGATACTTTGGTCTGCATTTAATGTAATTACAGCAGCAACTTCATTATAAGTTGGTGAGTTGAATCGCCTGGGATCATCGCCTAAAAGTAAACATCGTAAATTAATGATATGAAAAACAAAAAAATCTTAACTTTAATCGTTATTTAGTTCTAAGAGAAAAATGACACAAATAAAAATATGTTTTTTACCCTAAAAACAAAAAATTTCATAATTTCTTTCCAAACCATTTTGTAGAGCTTTAAAAAACAAATAATTTAATATATTGAAGCGTTATTGTGCGCCTAATGGTTACGGAGAAAATTCCAAAAAATTGTAAATTTAAAATTCCTATGTTATTCTTATGGAGAATAAGTCAACTGTTTTAGTTTGCTTGTTTATGAACATATTTTGATAAAATTTGTAAAATACATTCATTTTTTACTAAACTATTAACATTTTACCACAAAACATCTTTTTGCAGCAAACCTAAGTACGTTAAACTAATCTATTAAAATAGGGAATAAATGTGATACTTTTCAGGAGACATTTTAGTGTAAATCCAATCAGGCAAATGGAAATTCACTTAGTCTGCAGGTTTGCTGCGGCGGGGGTATTATTATTTTAACAGGCTGTTGTAGTTATTCTTACATGCAATATAGAAAGCTACGGAGAAGAGAAGAGAAAGGAAATAAAAAAGGCTACGGCACGCTTACTTATGCTTATATGGAAGTTTTCAGAGTTTAGTACTGAGATTGCAGCAAAACGTTAGTTGTGGCGGCCCTTCAATTAAATTTCCCTTCAGAGTCATCATATTTATCGAGGAGTAACAAACACAAGACAACTTACTTGATAAGTTTGCATAAGTTTTATGTTTAGTTACTGTTTATTTTATATTTCTGATTTTATATTTTTGCAGCAACTACAAATAACATACAAAATAATTGTGATTAGAGAAAACAGTATTATTTTACCTGCACGTTCAGCAAACAGGAGGTGGACATGGGGTGGTTGGACACCAAGAGCTTCAGCACGTTGATTGTTTTCCTCAACTATCTCCCTCATCATCGTAAAAGCCTGTGAAAATGGGTTTTGACTTCTCATTATCTCCTCTAAAATCTGTATTAGTTCTTGATTGATGCCTTGATTCATTGGTTCATTCATACGTTCTGCAACGGCTGTTTCCGGATCAATGAAGTACATTTGGCCATATCTAGGTCTTTCCAAATCACCCTCACTGTTGCTGACTGGCTGAGCCGCCAAATTTAACTTGTGATACACTTGTCCACCAGCAGTAAATGTATAAATACCTTTACTATTGAAAGTCCTGTCATCAGCAACATTGAATGAAGAAAAAGCAAAACAGGCAGAAATATTTCGAATTTTATCGTGGAACTGTTTGGCTAGTCTGTGTTGTTTTGTGTACAGCAATGCCAATTCATTGGGAAACTCTGGCGCAGGTTGTTCAATGCGACCATGAAGGCAACAGTCACCAAATGAATTAGGGTGAATTCTGTTCTGCACTCTCTCTTTTAAAAAATGAACAGCACCACAATGAACACATGCGATGTCAAACATTCCCAAATTGCTGTACTCTACGAGGCTTGAGGCAGCGGCTTTATAGGATTGAAGTTGGTTACGCTCAGAATTCTGTCGTATTTCAGCTGTACGACGACGCTGTTCTCGCAGGCGTTGAGCACGCTCGTCTACCACTTCAGCATCCCTGCGGTTGGCATCTCTTTGCCTCTGTTCTTCAAGACGTCGAACACGCTCGTCATCGTCCTCGGCGGCTCTGCGGATAGCGGCTGCTTGCCGCAGTTCTTCAAGCCGTCGAACACGCTCGTCTTCTTCTTCGGCGGCTCTGCGGATAGCGGCTGCTTGCCGCAGTTCTTCAAGCCGTCGAACACGCTCGTCTTCTTCTTCGGCGGCTCTGCGGATAGCGGCTGCTTGCCGCAGTTCTTCAAGACGTCGAACATGCTCGTCTTCGTCCTCGGCGGCTCTGCGGATAGCGGCTGCTTGCCGCAGTTCTTCAAGGCGTCGAACACGCTCGTCTTCTTCTTCGGCGGCTCTGCGGATAGTGGCTGCTTGTCGGAGTTCTTCAAGGCGTCGTGCTCGCTTGTCCTCCTCCTCGGCAGCCCTGCGGTTGACGTCTCTTTGCCGCTGTTCTTCGAGGCGTCGTGCTCGCATGTCCTCCTCCTCGGCAGCCCTGCGGCTGACGTCTCTTTGCCGCTGTTCTTCAAGGCGTCGTGCTTGCTTGTCCTCCTCCTCGGCAGCCCTGCGGTTGACGTCTCTTTGCCGCTGTTCTTCGAGGCGTCGTGCTCGATTCTCCTCCTCCTCAGCAGCCCTGCGGTTGACGTCTCTTTGCCGCTGTTCTTCGAGACGTCGTGCTCGCTTGTCCTCCTCCTCGGCAGCCCTGCGGTTGACGTCTCTTTGCCGCTGTTCTTCGAGGCGTCGTGCTCGCTTGTCCTCCTCCTCGGCAGCCCTGCGGTTGGCGTCTCTTTGTCGCTGTTCCTCAAGGCGAGTGGCACGAGCCTGGCTGTCTTCTGACATTCTTCTTTGCTCAAAATAATTTACCTTTTCTTCCACCATAGATTGACTTATTTGAGCACTTACATCAGAAATTATCTCCAGAGCCCTTATCTTTGCACATCTAATGGGTTTGTTGGAAGTCATCAGCTGTACAAATAAAAAATCTGTATTAAGGTTGTGTTAATTTGTAATACTGCAACATTTGTATCCTAGTCTACTGAGAGTAAAAATTGAAGCATCACCTGGCCAATTTTAGAATATATTCCTATCTACACTTGTTGCGTTATACTTACTCTTGGCATACTCCAATACCAGAATAAGAATAATAATTTATCATAATGGAAAATAAAAATAAATGTATAACAACTTCAACAAACAATACCAGTAGGTCTATTTGTTTACTAGCAACAGTAAAGACTCATGAAAATATATGATGATCCTCTAACCTATATCCACCATTAATGGTTACTTTTTGCAAAAGTTATCTTTTCTATTCCGGTCTTTAGGTACATAAGGCATTTACACTGTCCAAAAATCGAGTAATGCAATTTTTAACCGCATACAATAACAATAATGACAGATTTTTTTGCGTGATTAGAATATTTTTTAAATTTTCTGTTTGAACCAAACTCATACTTTTCTACAGTACATTAAATGTAATTTCAAATATGAATTAACCACAAAAAGAACGGTTCAACTTTTTAAAATTATTTAGCCTACTGTGGCAATGCGGTTTAGGTATAGTTACTCATACTCACATTTTCATCTGATTGATCTGGTAACATGCGCACTCCATTTGTGACCTGAAATTTAAATATTTGTCTTTTATGCTTGTTGAAAGGTAATTTTAATTGTATCTAAGTGTAAGCTATTTTTCAAAGATCGTAAAATTGGTGACTGATTACTTACCTACTTTATTAGTTATTGGTATTATTAATTTATCACAAAATAATATTTATAAACTAAATAAATTAATACTTTTGAATAATTTTACATTAATAATACGGTTGAGATGATAATAAAGACTCACATTTTGTTCAGATTGAACTTCTAAGACACATACACCAGACCCCTCAGGTCCTTCAGGATCAGGTTCTTTTGCAGCCTGAAATAAAAAAAAAATGTTTGATCAAAGAAAGAAAATTTAAGCTCCTTTCTAAAGGTCGTAAAAAATGGTAACTAACCCTATAGCCTACCTCTTCCTCCACAATGCTACTTACTTACTTTCCGTGTCCGGAAATCAGACTTCGCTTTTCCAGAAATTAGCTACCAATATGGCTTTGTCATTCGCTTGTAAAAGGTAATCTAATGTGGTCTAGGCATGGACATCAGTACATGGCCGGGATCCTGAACAACACCACACGCACACAAGACGTTTTCTTCGTCTTGTAAGAGACCCATTTCTGCATGTTTGTCTTGCATTTTGGTACCTCGACCCTGATTCGGTCTTGAGTCTTCCACACCGTGTAATGAAGGCATCCACCAGGAGCCAGTTCCTCCCTGGCTGGTATGGGAGGGTTGGCCTCCCACCTTTCCATCCGATTGCTCTGAGAGTGATCCATCCAGAACTCGTGTCCGTGATATGAAGCTCTTTTTGGACCGAAGTAAGACTACACTACACTAAGATATTTGTGTGTAGGACAGTGCTCAAGACGGTCTCCCCACCATGTCACATTCAACTTACAGCCTGCTTCTCTATTGTTTGGGTGAAAAAGGCACAAACTTTATGCTTGAAACACTCTTGCTATTTCAATAGAACAAATTCCTGAATGATATTAGATTTTACAAATTTATAATTGGATGCTAGCTCATACAAAACCATTCTTATCTACAGGTTTTGAAGTATTGAAAACTTACCTTAAACTCCTCATGAGCTTGCCTAACTACTAAAATTTATTAGAGAAACTGACATCATTATATTTATTTAACCATAATGACCAGTAAATTGGACAAAAGTTAAGAATTCAAATTTTTTAATTAAACAAATAAGTTTATTCCTTAGTTATCCTACCTTTATAGAATTGTTTTAATCCATCCTAAACAAAATATAACTATTTCAATGTAATGATGTTCACAAAATTGTAAATTGTCATCTAACTTTTTAATGTACCTCACACAATGAGCTATAGAGAAATATAAAATAAGCAACTCTATTCCAATTTCTGTATTCGTGGTGTAAGCTAGTAATGACATACCACACGGATTTAATGTATGTAATTAAATTAATAAAGGTATATATTTTATAACTTACCTGGTCTACATCAGCTTTGTGACTTTTAAAGAAATTCCCCAACTTCTTCAAACTTCTATTTGGTGGTCGTCCTCTTTTCATGATTTCAGATTTTTTGTTGAGTACATTTCCATCTAGTAACGAATTTTTTGAGGCAAGATGTTTACAAACAAAACTCTATTGTTGATACGTTAATCACAAACATGTGACTTTTAACCACATGTGCATAATGCAAAATTTTTATTTCAGTATTAGTTTTGTAATTATTTATTTCAGTATTAGTTTTGCCATAATGCATAATGACATAATACAATCCAATCGGATTGAGTCGACTCTAGATTTTAAACAAAGTTGGCCACAATAAGAATAAAATATATTCGACTTTTTTCGAGCTAGTGATATAGTAATACACTTTTTACCGTTCTAGAGTTGAGATATATAGTTACCAAAGTATGTGCTTGCATAAAGCTCATACAATAATTGACATAGGCCTACCACTTTTCCATAATTTCATACTACATAAATATTTTACCCTTTTCTTAGGATTTAAGCATGGATAGAACATGATAAAACATAATCCCTTAGTAGATTTCCCATCCTTATGGAACAGCTGAAGCCAATTTTATTGTTAGTTCCGCCCGGTTTTCTGTAGATGTCGTGTTTGGTTTACAATTTGTTTCTTGTTATTTCAGTAATTTAAACCCTAGTTTAACCAAATAAAACTATCTAATCATAAACAATAACTCGTCCATTAGCTATATAACCAAACAGTGAGACACAAATAATGAGAAACTAACCCTAAAATAATAGAAACAGATTGTAGACAAAAACGACATCTACAGAAAACCGGACAGAACTACCAATAAAATTGGCTTCAGCTGTTCCATAAGGATGGGGAATCTAACCGTAGCATTTGAGTATTTTAAGATACATTAATCCAACTGCCGCAGACGCTTCCTACACTCCGCACTGCTAGCCTTTACTACAAACATTGTATCCAGTAATCTTCAGCATAATCTTTGCTTAATAGTAACAACTGATGTTTTTGCTTTTGTACTGTATTTTGTAATTTCTAGTATACTGTGGGTAGATGCCTTTATGAACACATGTTTTAACTTACAAGTCTTTTGTTTACTTTTTCCTTGTTATTTAATTCTTCCAACATGGTTACTTAGCAACCCATAAGACTAATGTTAAAAAAATGTGACTTTCAGTTTCATTTTTCTACGTAATTAGATTTTTGTTGGCAGTTGTAACTGTAGTAAACTCGTTTTTAGGCCAAAAATAATCTATTTACAACATTTGAAGAAAATCGTCGGAGCCGTTTTCGAGATCTTGGTGCAAGCAAGCAAGCAAGCAAGCAAGCATACATACATACATACATACAAGCAAACATTGCTCGTATTAGAGTATAGGATAACATCAGCTGACCTTATACCAGCCCCTATACACAATGCTTAGGAAAATGTGTGCCAAAAGTAGGTGTAGAAGATTTCTGAGGGTATAAAGGTGACTTGGGATTAAAATAACCAGAAGTTTGAATTTGACGCATACTTTGGCCACGAGCCCAAGTGTCTCTCCAGAATATACTGATTCCTTCAGCAAACTTCACCCGAGCGAAGAAAACCTGGCAAACATGAACTTACGATTTAGAAATATTTCGACCATTAAATTTGAACATTAGATCTGAACTTTTGATGTACTCATTAGGTGGAAAATATGATAAGTTGGTATTATGTATGAGCTTTAAACTTTATTAACATTCAAATTTTATTTTCATGTACTGTATTGTTGAAACTTTTCTATACTGTTTTATTGCAGTTTATATATATTTTTTTATAAATTAATGGTGTTTGAAACTCGTCAATATGTGTTTGAAACAAAATATGAAAATTCTATTTTGTTTTAACTTAAACAATTTTAAATTGCATACAACATAATACCTTTGAACTAAAATTTCAAACCACTTGAAACATTACAGTATCTTAATAGTCTTCTCATGTTAGAAGACTTACTTTACAGATAATCCAACTCATCCTTTATTGACCTAGATATCCTGGGAGTTTCTTATCAGAATGATAAGATTAACAGGTAAAATCATCAAAGTATTGCTGTAAATTCATATAAATCTCTTTATCTTTGATATTTTTACCAGAAAAGATATATGCACAGTAAAAAACTCACCATCAACCGCTCTCACCATTTTTCCTTTTCTTTGTAACTATAAATTTTATAATTAGTCATATGGAGTCTAAATGTTTTAAAATATTTAATTTTGATATTATTATTAGGTTTCAATCTTCGTAGCATGACTGTTGCTTTGGAATTTCTCACACTCTCACTTCAAATTATAACTAATCATTATACTGTCAAGCACTGCTTTTAGCCGTTTTATACTAAGAGTACAAAAATGAACATTCATTGACTTTGGATATGATAGTGTACAGTTGCAGTTGAAGGCACAGTTATCAATAAAATCATAGATTAAGAAAATACTTAAACCATCATGTCCAGCTCACTAATGTCACAAGGATTTATGTTCTTCTCTTGCCAACTGCTCTAAATTGACTGTCTAAACAATTTGGTGGAATTATGGGTACTACTGACAACTGCTCCTATCCATTCATCTTGTTTATTAATATCCTGCTTGGGTTTCCTTTAAATTCCATATTCCTACTACAGCCGTCTGTTGCTGGTAGAAAACCTTTTGGTACTCTCCAAACTATATGAAATCCAAACAATAAAAATGGCTAAAGTTTTACAAAATCTGTCTAAAAGCATTTGACAAAAAATTAGAACCAGCATTAATTAATTATTTTACATTTTTTTGCGAGCTTAAAATGTGTTGAATGTGGTTAATGTTTTTGAAGATGGAGAAATAATTTAAGATAGTTCTTGAATCCATAGATTTTTTAAACATCAACTGTGTCAGATTAAAAGATGTGTACAAAAAAAGTCCACAGACTCTTATATTGGTTGCCAAAGTTTATTGATAAAGAAGAAATGGTAGCATTGAAAATAAAGTGCATTTGTAAAAACTTTAAAAACATGTTATTGAACAAGATAATTGAAATAATAAAACGTGGCTTCTAATACATTGAGAGATCACCATTAAAAAAATACTACTTTATACTGCATTAATTTGCCCAGTTAAACAAATACATTTTGTTTTCTTTTTTTTGTATGAATTTGTCTATTTAAACAGTGTGTACCTATATGAGGTATGTTAATGTTACTTGTGACGATTAAAAACTTCTTATAATAGGGGAGAGCTAAGTAGCATGAACCATTAGATTTCTCTTTCTTATGGATCAGCTAGACAATTTTATTGTTAGTTCCTTTCGTCCCCTAGTTATATAACCAAACAGTAAAGCACAAATCATGAAATTAACCCTAAACTAACAGGAAACAAATTTCGTCGACACTAGCGATCAGTGTCACCAGCATGAAATAGACAGGAAAAACGAGCTTCAAAATTTACAGTGGGATAAAAAGTCTACTTGTGATGGTTAGTTTAATCACAGACAAATGGATCAACCGCATGGGGAATGGGCACACGGGAGGGACTAAGGCTAAAGGTGTAGTGACGTCATATCTCTCGTGGCTAATGTCTACTCTTGAGGCAACACGATTACCGTAACGAAACAATGAGTTTTCAGCGGCGTTCGTGACATTGTTAGTTGCGTTTCAATTTGGTGTTCAGGAGTTCCCGGGTTCGAATCCCGCTGGAAGCACTAACTTTTTGTCAACAAATTGTTATATCAGCAAGTTTGGTTGGTTAGGTTAGGTTATGACAGTTGAATTTTATAATAATAAATTTTAAAATTAATTTAATAATTAATAAAAAATTATAAGTAATCATTAATTAGATTTTTATCTTATACAGTTTTATATTATCAGCAAGTCTGGTTGGTTAGGTTATGTTATGACAGTTTTATTTTTAAAAAGTTAATTTTATAGGTAACTAAAAATGAAAAAAATAATTTTTTCAACTTAGCGGTTCTAGCGGCGAAGATGACACTACAAGATATGTTAGCCTTAGTCCCTCCCGTGTGTCCCACCGTAATGCATGGACTAAATGATATTTTTTCTGATCAGCTGTTTCTTATTATTTCTGAAAAGTTTATGATCAAGAACAGCTGGGCTCAGTGTAAAAAAAAAAAAAACTGTCTGACTTTCCAGGATTGAAAAATGTGCCTACTGAGTACTAGGAGGAAGTATATCCACACAGCAATTCAACTTGTAGTGCCAAATAACATTTCACAGCAAAATGTACAACAACCTTTATTTAAGTAGCTCAAAAGTTTAACATTAAAACAACAACCAAAATTATTTAAATGTGTTATCAAATAGGATACAATTATTAATAAGGCAGCTGTACATAGCTACACAGCTTTCATTGAAAACATTCACATTTTGACTACAATTATGTAAAACCATAGACTAAGCAACACGATTTATCTATGGTAAAACTAAAGTAATACCATTGACTATGGATACTAAAGTAGACATCCCATATACACCACCAGCTGTAACCAAGTTGACGAGAAAAGAACATAGTCGTGTAAGCCAGTCACAGAATGTGCTAGTATCTAAAATTATCTTTAAAATTTTTCTAAAATTGTCTACCTTAGTTTTTGTTGCTGTCTAAGGTGAGACTGATAGGTCATCATAAGATTGCTATTGCTCACGATAAGTCATTACATTAGTTAGACTTTGTAAAAAAGTGTCTGTATTCAACAGAAATTAGTAATTTAGATCAGCACAACCTATCAATCTATCGGAGGCTCACATCAACTACGACGATTTTGATTAAAATACCCAAGCCGCAGCAAACCTGCCGACTAAGCGAATTTCCATTTGTCCGAATTGATTTTCAATCAAATTTATTAAAATAACATTAGGTTTAATGAGTTCCTAGGTTTGCTGCTACAAGGGAACTAATAAAGTGTATTTTTTAGTAAAATATTAATAGCTTAGTATAAAATAAAAAAATTTGCCAAGTTTGATCAAAATATGTCCATAAACAAGCAAACTACAACATTTTACAATATTCTCCATAAGAATAACATGATACTATTAGATTTTAAAAAAATTTGAGTTTTTTCCGTTAACAATAACCGTACAAAAACACTTTGATATACAAAATCATTTGTTTTTTTAAGCTCTTTAAAAATGTCTAAAGAGAAATTGGGAAATTTTGTGTTTTGAAGGTCAAAAATGAGTAAAAAAAATGTTTACCCCATACAATCCTTCGTCAAACCCCGTTCCCATTTTCCGATAACGATGGTTCGCGAACGATTCCGTCTCCCGAGCGCCGAGCAGGCTACTGGCATCATCGATGTAACAACTTTACGAGTTATTATACATCGATGTCTGACATCAAGATGTATGAAGTAAAACTTTTACTCCATCCATCTTGATCTGGCATAATCTAACAGCTTGACAGCCGAATTGAAATTCACAAAAGCAAAGAATTGCGATTGCCCAATTGAGCATTGTAGACAATCATAGTAATAGCTACTTCCCTATAGGGAAATTCGCTAAAAATGGACGAAAACTTTAACATTGGGAATGGAATATCTTCTAACAATAGTAAAAGGTAATGTACCAAATTTAAACTGATGAGACAAACATCTACAGCAAGTCATTCTTCCTACATGTTTGCGCCACAGCAGTGAATCACTCGCAGATTTTATCATTTTCGTCGCAGCAGAAATTGTCAGCAGCGTCTGCGTCTGCCAGTTGCGGAAAGTGTCAGTTGTGACGCAGAGCTCGACACTGAAAACACTCATTTTGGCTCCTGACTCACGCCGATGGCTCGTGTGAGGGCGGACTGTAGTCACTGGTACATTCCACGCCACGATGACATGTTCAAACATGTTTTCTGCAATGTTTATGTTGATATTGTAGTTGAATATTGTAATATGCTATGATGGGTGTTGAGAAAATGTTGATTTAGGGAGTTTAAAACAATGGTGATTTGTGTTATTGAGTAACATGAGCGAAGTGGTACATGCAGCAAGGACAATTTGCACTCGTGTTACACATTATATATTTTTCACGCAGTTCTTATAAAGCATAGAAATAATTAGTCTTTGAAACACTAAACAACACGTTTTAGGTTAGGTCAAATCCAAGCGTTAAAAGAAATGGAAAACACTGCAACAGCTGATCGTAGTCGTAGTATCTATCGTAGTGTTGCCAACCTATTTCCCAGCGTACACGGACTACGTGCATAATAAAAGCATCCTGTTTTGTGTTGTTTGGCTGGAACACTGGTTTGCGACAAAGTAAAACAAGTGCGACAAAGTAAAAAGTGTGCGGCAAAGTGAGTAAATGTAGCAATTAGCAGCTTTCTGTACTATAATCAGTGCAAGGAAGCCCACTTTGTCGGGTGACTGTAGGAAAATAACTTATACTGTAGTAGGCCTACCAGTTTATTAACACAAATAATACAAAAATGTATTCTTTCCACTTTCTTTCTATCCGTACACATGTTACATATACAACATATACAATCTAGCAGCCTCCATAGTGCTATGTAGAATTACTGATATTTTCTATTTTTAGAGCTAGATATAATAAGCACACGGAAGTATTTCCCAAAACTAATCAGATTTATTCGCTTGTAAACATCACAGTAGATCTAATGAGTTCAACATCCAGTGGCTTGGGAGTTAAAAAAATGGCCGTAAAATGTTCTTCTCGTAAGAAATTGTGTTTTGGAGGGTACCTAGGCTTCTCATAGAAGACCACAAAAAATGGATTTCACTGCAATTTTTTCACTCGATAACCTATTTCCGCACTTTATTTTTTTAAATTAAAATTTTTCTAGCTAGGAAGATATTTCCAATGTTGGTATAGAGTTGTGATGGACAAACCTTGAAAGGTTAGTTTGGAAGCTTAGTAATAATAAGTTGGTGATGGTGTGATGGAAGGGTAAAATATTATACTTCGTTCACAATTTTTAGGCGGTTTGAGGGGAAGTTTTCCCACCACTTTTTTGTATCTAATGTATGTTGCTTAATCAGCTGTTGAGCTATTATTTTAAAAGTAAGGGTCAAGTAAAGGGGATATATTTCTTCCCCTAAAACCGCCTAAATATTGTTAGCGAAGTATAGATCCTCTTCACATATTATCTTGGATGGAGCAATAATGCAAAGAATCCACAACCATTGAAGGAAGGTTACATGATGGTCCTTATAAGCTGGACATCAATATCAGGAACATGAACATAAACACTGGATAGATTTCTCATGTTCACACAGCTAAAATTTAAACTGTTCTAAGCAAAAATGTTTTTTTTTTTAATAAAGAGGTTGGCGGCCTCTGTTAACCTTTTATTTGCCCGTCCACATAGACTAACCGCCCGTGCGTGGAACGTTTACAGCAAAGCAAGGAGTTAGCCGGTACAGTACTTAGATGAACTGAACTGATAAATTTTAATGGCAGTGACCAGGATCCGAACCCACGACATCGCTGCCTTGGGCCCGAATTCCGTGACGATACCGACTGAGCCACCAACTCATTACATGTTACACACATGTTTACACTACATGTTTACACTACATGTTAAAAATTGTATAGTTAAGCTGCAATAATCATTTAACAATTCAATTATGTTTCAACACCATATTTCACCGCTTCCTTGGAAGAATTTATCAAGTTGCAACAGTTATTGACAAAACATGACCTATGCTGTGGAAAGAACCAAGCCTACATCCACTTCAGATATTGAGGTAGTGGAATTACTAATCTAATCTCATACAGCACAGGATTATCTTGAGGAGCAGCTGGATTAACTCCTCAAAAAACCTCGCTGATCTGACATGGGCTGATTTACTCCATAATATTTATCCCCCCATTGCTCTATTAAATTTTTATTTTATTTTTTTATACATCCCAAGTAGCTAGCATTTTAAAATTAAAATCTCTTCTATGTACACCTAATCCAACATGAAAAACAAAGTCAGAACTAGAAAGAAGTTCTTGTTCATAGTGGTTCCACAAGACCAGAAATTATCAAGAAAGAGTTCAAAATTTAAGTAATTATTGACAGTTTGCAGTCTTTTCTTCAATTGAAAGTGTGATACAAACTTCACAGAACATTCACTTAACATGGACAGATGCAAAGAGTGGATAACCCCAGTAGAGGACACTTTAAACGTTGCCAAACAAACAATGGCCATAGTTATTCAACCCCAAGAGGCTCAAAGTTACCACATGTCTCTTAAGCCTGGTGTCTGGTTAAAAAGAAGAATTGTAAAAGTTACTTATCCCGGCGAAGGAATTGGTCATCTTGAGCCTTTTGATTCAAACAAAAACACGTTGCTTTGACTCCACGGCAAACTAAGTCTTCTGGAAATAAAACAACACCTGAGGAAGGAGGGCAGTCAGACGTTGGACATCGTATGTTGGACATCGTCGACTTCGTGTTAGCCAGGCGTCAGTAGACAACTGTGGAATACAAGCTGACGTCTGAACTTCATGCCCAGTCTTCTATTATAGTTGAAGTTGGTGGGGGATGAACCTGATTGGTTTCGAGTGCTGTTCTTGGTTGGAGCTAAAGAACTTTCTCCTAACTATGGATTCATATTCAGTGCATGGTTTAATGGGAATCTCATTAGTAACAAAAGCAACAGCTACATAGGTCTAAACACCGAGGTAAAAGACCAAACTTTAATGGAAGAGGTAGCAGTTGATGAAAAGTTTTCGTTCCGCCGAGGTCATCCGTTCTACCTCGAATTCTACATCACCGAAGCCAAGTTTATGGTGGCTGTGGATGGTCACCACTACGCCTCCTACAAACACAGAGTACCTTTGAAGTCTATCAACAAAGTCAAGATCGTCGGAGATATAACTCTTACCAACGTCCACTTCTAGGACAACCCCAAGTACCCTTCCCCTCAGCCGCAGGGATTATGGATATGTGAAGATGATTATAATAAGGAACAACATGGTGAAATAATTGTTAGAAATAATAATGTATCAGGATAGGGCAACTTCATTTCATCAGAGGACAGAAAAACAGAAGCCATAGATGTGTTGGCGTGAGACAAACAACGAACCCAGGTAGAGAAATTTGGCCAACACAAGGGGGTTTTGGTGGGGAGAAATGTTAACAGGAAATAGACCTTAGTCCAGTGCTGATGTGAGGCATTACTAAATATATCATTACTAAATAAATCCTCTTTTTACTTATCTACATTATTTTATTTTGAACTTGTTTTTGGTGATTTTTCTTAATATACATTGTACACCATGTACTTTTGTTGCCTAGATTTTTAGTTGTATGCATACATCATAATGGGATTTATTTTTGTACCGTATTTTTTCTTGCATTTCAAGGGTGTTATCTTGAAAACCTTATAAACTCTGTAGATGTAGTCACAAACTGATGCATTTAAAAGGCAATTTAAAATGGGTAGACATATACTGGCATTTTTTAAAAGGGAAAGATACCATTATACTTCCAATACAAAATTCCACAATCCAGAATATCCATGCTCGATTTTAAGCCAAAAACATACTAGAAGTTATTTTTAATTGTGGAATAAAAACCCTGACCATCATCTGAGTTTATTCATCTAGAAATTTTCACATTGAGGAGTTAGTTAAATAGTTATCCAAGCAAGTCCTGTAGTATGATCTGTACTATAATCATTTCATAGTATGTTCGATTTTCTTATCTATCTATCTATCTGTCTATATATTTAATACGCGACATGAAACTTTGTGAACAATAAGGCTTTTTTGTTTTAAGATTTAACCCCATATATTATATACCAAAATGTTCGTCTAGGTGTGTAGATGTGCAAACTAACTTTAGATTTTCGAAATATATCATTTTAAGGGCGTAGGGTGCCCTCAAAGTTCCTTCCATAAGGATAACATTGTGATTGATTTGAATGTTATTATATTCTGAAACATATGTCAATACATTAGTTTAAACAAAATTAAATCCCAGCTGTTTTGTTTGGTTTTCAAATGTATACAGTTTGCATGTTTTTAAAGATAATTAGATACCTGGCAAAGAAATGTTACCTGTTATCTCAATGTTATCTATATAGAGAAAGGTTTTACATAATATTTTCGTTTAAACATGTCAAGGACCCAACGAAAAGAATATTGCTGGTCGGACACGGTGAGTCAATATACGGCAAGCAATGCAAAACGTAAGGAGCCCAGATGAGGAGCTGGAACAACAGTTAGTGGCAACGTGTACTTACTTGGCGAGATGGCATTAAAATGTCAGAAATGTGCTGTGCTATATTTTAAAGAAGAACAAAGAGAATGAGGTGAAGGATTTTCATCCTGCTGCCATAAAGCAAAAGTGAATCTACCACCATACTGAGAAATCTATTATATCCAGAGCCTACTTAAATGGAGCAAATAATTTCAGCAGAAACTACAAAGAGAACATTAGATCGTACAACTCTGCGCTCGCAATGGTCAGCACTCGAGGTAAATTTGGAGAACATGACGGTGGAGGGCCTTTCATGTATAAGGTGCACGACACAATTTATCACTCAATTGGCACCTTTCAACCGTCAGAAGGGGAGCATCCCACATATGCCCAAATTTATATCTACGACGTCGAAACCGCTGTTAAAGGATGAATGCTAAACAAATCTAATGGTTCTTGCAGCACTAGACTCATGCACATTTTGACTCACATTTGGTTGATATTTAATCCATACGCGCAAGTTTTCAGCATTATGAGCTCCGTCCTGCAAAATACTCCTACTGAACAGCAAAAAGAACTTAGAATGCATAATATAGCCAACGATCAAGCTCAAGACCAACGTCGATACAACGACGCAACGTCTAACGACGTTGCTATAATATCATAATTTATTATTTGTGCGAATTCGCACGGGTTCACCTAGTATACTATATTATTAAATCAACTACAACAACACACAAACAATTTATTAGAATTTTGTAACAACATACGGGGAGGGATAGTTTATCTATTTCTCTCCAATTTTCAGCTATGACATATTAAGTATTTTGGTCCTTTGGGCTGGGTATGAATAAACATCCCAAAGTTTTGGCTAAAATTACATTTAGAATGAAATGAAGAATATCCATGACCAAGAAATAAAATTACTTATTGAATAGGTCTATTAACTCACAAGCAGAGTACTTTAAGGATGATTGAAGATAGGTCATTATTTGGTTTACGATGGTGCAGTAACGCTTTCAAAGGGAGATCTCTTCTATCAGGTCAAAATTAAAATATCGACTAATCATTGTTTTAAAATGACACAAAACTAATTATTGTTGTTCACGATAGAATAAGAAGATAGGAATCTTCAGCTGGGTAAAACATTTAATGTAGGTATCAAGGAAATAAAAATAATCCAGAACTACTTGAGTACTTGGGAGAAGCTGTCGCAATTTCTACACTTTGGCTACGCTCGATTTCGATCAGCTTGACTAAATTTTAGCACAGAAAACATACAGTAGTATGTTTTCTGTGATTTTAGTGACAAATTCAGGGTTGAACGTTGTGCTCGGCTGAGGTGTGCGGCGACTGGACCGCGGACGGGCAGTGCGCGCCGCAGCGGACCAGAATAGACCCGCTCGGGTTACCTCCGCCTTTTATAGCGACTGCCAGGTGGGTGGACTCCCGCGCCGAACTGTACACAATGTCCACCGAACGTCCAAAACGCAGGAATCAACATTTGGAGGGAATTTTTAATAGGGCTTTCTTTAATGGATGATATAGTGCTGAATCGCTAATTTGTCTTTTTAGATAATTTTAATTAGATGTAGCACCTAGAGAAGTAGTAACATGTCATTTACTAAATAGAAACTCAAAGAAACAGAAGCTCAAAGCTTTTAGCCAGAATGAAATAAAACTATGCTATGCATAAACACTAGATTGGCTTTAAACCTTCTAGATGCAGAGGTGAAATAAGCGGTAGCACCAATAGAGGTATGTTGGAACGAATTAAAACTAGTTATATCTCGTTTAGAGGTAGTGCAGTTAGAGTTATAGCCTTGATACTAAAACACAAAGCTGTAAATATGATCATTGGTACTATGGTACTGCAATGTGGGCAATTCAGGAGTAAATTCAAGAGAATTGAAGAGCTTAAGTCCCAGAATGTAGGTGTTGGTGGTTGTGCCGCACTGAAGGTTGACAGTCAGTATATTTTTTACTTAGTAACAAAAGAGTTAAGTTACAAGAAGCCAACTTACCAAACTCTCCAAAACTCACTCGACAGTCTAAAGGCAAAATGCATCGAATATAAGATCTGCAAGTTAGCTATGCCTCGTATCGGTTGTGGGCTGGATGGACTTCATTGGGGAAGAGTTAAGGAGATGGTAACCAAAACGTTTAATAACCTAGACATAAGGATCGGCATTTATGAATTCAATGAGGAAGGTTTGCCTGAGTGGGAGATGGGTAAACCTAACTTCCAGACCTCAAAGTTACCGACAGTTCCATCTACAATAACCAAGAGTCAAACCCAGGTGAATCATCAGAAGACTCGAGTTAACAAACATTCGAAGGATGATCCCATCGAGAGACAACCTAGACAGGCCAAAGAGGCGGATCTACCAACTGATGTGATCGGAACTCGGGATGTTGCTTCTCCGACGTCCAGTGCACCTGGTCAAGACACACAACCTACAACTCCTGACATCTCACTCCACAATGACCTCAACACAACAAATGAAAAAGAAGCTGAAATACCCAAGAGTTTGATTTCTGTAGAAAGTGAAGAAATTATAGTTGATAACAGTTTTACTGATGTAAATACTAGGCAGACTAACATGAAATATTTTTTAAGGAACAGAAAGGTCATGCAAAAGAAAGCATAAGACTACAATCTAAGACCAATTCCTCTTATGTGGGCACTGCTGACACACAAGCACTTAAATTACTAAACATTTTACATTGCAATATTCAAGGGATAACCCAGGGCAATAAAACCGATGAAATAAATCTTTACATAGATTCTTTTAGAACAAAACCTGATATTGTTTGTTTCTCTGAACACTGGGTTCCATCTACATGCCAAATTCCACTTTTTCAATTCGATGGGTATCAATTAGCCGGTTCATATTGCAGAGAGAAACAAAAAAGAGGTGGGGTTTGTGTATTGGTGAATAATAATTACAGTATTAAATTAAGAGCGGATCTTGGAAACTTTACGGTTGACTCTTATTTTGAGTGTTGTGGTGCTCAGATCACGCACCCTCTTGATTTAATTGTGCTTTGTGTCTACAGACCTACCGTGTATACCAAAATTGCATATGATATTTTTTTTCTAGCTTGCGTTCACTTTTACAATATTCTATTCTTAAGAATCCTAAATCCTTTTTTATACTTACAGGAGATTTTAACATTGATATTTTGAAAAATAGTTCTCAATCTGAAGAGTTTCTTTCAATATTAAATTCATTCAATCTTTTTACAACTATAAAGGTACCCACTCGGGTTTCAAATGTTTCTAGTACATGTATTGATAATATTATAACAAATTTTAAACCTAATTTATGTTTGCCTTCTGTGGTACAAAATGGTTTATCTGATCACTTAACTCAATATCTTCAAGTGAATTGTGAATATTTTACCAAGAAACATACAGAAACTGTGGTTAATAAAAAAACAATATACGTAAGACATTTTTCTAAGGTTAATATCTCCAATTTTGTCAATTCTTTAAAATCAGAGGATTGGTCTTACTTCTTTCAGAAATTAAATGTAACATCTGATGCAAATACTATTTATAAGTGTTTTTTACATATTTTTAAACTACATTTTAATGCGTCTTTTCCATTAGTTAAGGCTAAAAATAGTCTTAACCGGAATAAAGATAAAGGTTGGCTTACAAGTGGGATAAAAAGATCTAGTAAACATAAAC